CTTCAGCTTTGTGCATTTTTAGAAAATTAACTACCTTATAACACACTTTGAAACATTCTTAATTTCTTTTATTTGTATACTAACAATCATAGGAGAGTTGTTTTTGGGATACAGTGACTCCTTTGTTTTGCTAAGGCTAATTTTTAAAAGAATAAGAATTTGGCTAATAATTTGAGAAATCTACAGTTTGATGGGAAATGATACAAGATAAGTGTTATTTACCTGGATTTTTTATTGTTCATCAAAATAGATTAGATTTCTTATCCAGTAATACACTTCTTTCTTTCCTAGATTTGGGTAAATAGTCCACACAATGCAACAGGATACTACACTATATACGGAGAGGAAAATCTGCAGGCTGACCACTTTAACACTAAGCTGAGTTTTGGAGATCCTCAAACGCTCTGGGCCAAAACTGGATACCTGGGCTTTGTCAAGAGAACTGAACTCACAGACTCCAGTGGAGGTGAGAGAGAGAAATAAAAATGGCTGAATTAATGGCAAAGTGTTCATGACAGATTGATGAGGGCGACATAGTGTTTGTGTGATGCTAAAGTCTGAGTCCACATTGAAGATTTTTTTTTAATGTACACCAAAAAAAAAGTTTTAGGATTCTGAAAATATTTGAACAAAAAAAGTTCTTAGATTCTGCACTTTCACTAATAAAGAAAAAAATATATTTTTTTTAAATTTAGATATTGTTACTAGTGGTCTCTGACTGAAGAGACATTAATTATGAGATAAAGGCACATGCATTCTTGTAAAAAATGTTCTTGCTTGTTAGATCGCCATGATGCCCTGTTTGTGGTGGGCTCTCTGGATGAGACTTTAGAATTGAGAGGTTTGCGATATCATCCAATTGACATCGAGACCAGCGTATCACGCGCCCATCGCAGCATTGGTGAAAGGTAAAATCCCAGCGACACGCTCTTTACTTAATTTTCAATCATGCTATCCATTATCTCTTACTTGGTCTTTCCCCCTGCAGTGCCGTGTTCACCTGGACAAATCTGCTGGTGGTGGTGGCTGAACTCTGCGGATCAGAGCAGGATGCTTTAGACCTGGTTCCGCTGGTAACCAATGTGGTTTTAGAGGAGCACCATCTGATTGTGGGTGTAGTGGTTATCGTTGACCCTGGGGTCATCCCCATAAACTCCAGAGGAGAAAAGCAGCGAATGCACTTGAGAGACTCCTTCCTGGCAGATCAGTTGGACCCCATATACGTAGCATACAACATGTGAGCTGGGTTATGGGCGAGACAAAGGCTTACTAGAAAGGTGCTATGGAGCCTGGCCTCACAACTGGGATTGGGTTCATATACAGACAGACTTGGCCCTGTTTTTTCAGGGATAAGGTGTCATTGAACAAAAAATACAAATGTGTGAGATTACTGTTTTGGAGAAGGGATACTATAATAGAATTTCCCTTATTCCTCACTACCTTCTCTCCCAGAACCCCCCTTCTCAGCAAAATGCCACTTACTGTCTGTCCAGTTCTTGGTCATGATTTAAATTTACTTGAATTACCTAGCTGATTTTTCTACTCAAACGCATTCCTTTCTAGCACTGACTAACTAGTGTTTTGTTTTTTTTAATTAAAAGGAGCTTAAAGCCTCAGTTTGTAAGTTTTCGCCTGGGTTGTTTGATTCCAAAATATTTTATTCTGATTCCAAGTTTTTGGAATCAATGGAAACGATTTCAGGAGTCAATACTCAGAATAACTAAGTGAAAAAAGGGAGACAAAGTGAAATCTTAAAAATAAAAAGTGCAATATAAACTGTAATTTATACTATTATGATTGATAAAATAAATGATAGGAGGTCTTGATGGATGGACTACAAAAGACGTGAGTCGCATTGATCAGTCAAGTAATTATGTAGGTTTAGCAATATAAATTCTGTATCTTAAATTAGTGTTGTTGCAATTCTTTTGGGATGTTTAGTAGTGTGGTAATCAAGTTAATGAACAGACTAGGACGCCATGAATGGAAGATTAATTCCTTTTAGGATCTAGCATTTAATGATTCTGAATATACACTCAGAATTGATCTGCAACCCAACTTATTAATGGTGCTGTGTGTTACAGGGCTTTAAAATGAAACATTTTTAGGACAGCATTGGTGTAATAGGGTTATCAATACTCCCCTGGTCATTTGTCATTCATCAGATGCTTTTGTCCAAAGCAACTTACAGTATACTTATAACACAGGGACGGTCCCTCCAGAGCAACCTGGGGTTAAGTGCCTTTCTCAAGGGCAGTATTGATTATAGGACATTTCTGTAATGCTCGAGTTCATAGAATGCCCTTACCCAGGTCAAAACCCACAGTTTCATCCACCATCATTTTGGTTAAGACACAGATGTGCTATAGAGACTGCAGCTGTCAGCTCAGTTTGCCCTGTCAGTTCTGGAAACATTTAGCATTTTAAATCTTACCACTGGGGCTTTAACAAAATTTATTTCAGATATGGAGCTCTCCTGGTTACAAACTTGCATCTTTTAATTTGTTTTAGTTCTACAGTATTTACAAAACACAATCTACAGTTGTACTAGACAAAAGTGCAATGTAATACACAAAAGTATTTAACTTTTTTTTTTTCTCGTTTTAATCTATATTCATCAGGTTATTTAAGACGGTCCACAACCATTTTAATTATGAATTGCTTAGTTTCTAACCTCAATGCCTACATTTACAAATCACACATTCGTTGAGTTCACGTCTCACCATTTAACAGTAAGAAACACTCATACAGACAAGAGCATTTACCAACTGCAGACCTCATCACACATCAAGCCCAAACCAAACACAAACTGAGGTACGTATAGCTCTATTTTTGCTCTCATCTAAAGGTGCTTATACACATCAGGACAAGCCATTTAAACCTCTGGCAAAAAAAAAAAAAAGGATTTCAGGCATCTGTACAATAAAACAAAACAACTATAAAATAACACGACTCTCTGTACAAGCAAGCCCCTCGTGAACACCTAACTGTACAAAGGCATAGATTTTACATGTTCGGCAAAGGATCTTTAAAGGACAGTTGCTGTCTCCTGTACTATAGACATTTTTACTAGGAATGACTAACTTCTTGTAAACCATAAATAATTGTAAATTATTGCTTGTGTACAGATGAGAAATTCTACTCTACTGTAAGTTAGTTGCTGTATTCTGTCAAATTTTTTAATGAATATGAATATTAACTACTGTCACTGACATCCCTTCGTAGCTGAGCGGGGGTCTGAAGTTGAAGACTTACTGTAAATAGGTTGCTCTGTTTCTGTTTGTTCTTTTCTGGTTGATCAGAAATGTGATGGGTTGAAGTCTGTGTTCAGATCTCTCTGTCATGCATTTCTTTTTATAATTCAGATTCAGAAATCTTACGGTATGTACAAGTCTTGAAGATGTAAGCATGATAAAGTCAAGCACTGTGGGGGCTTGAAAGACTATTTTCAGAGTCCTTACACAACTGATCACTACAGTATGTTAGCCTAACCCCATTCTGGGGTTGTGTATATATGGTCACAGCTTTGAAAGTTCATTTGTTTGTTGATGAGTTCCACAATACCTTTTCCCAAATCAGAGACGCTGTCATGAAATGTATTCTCTCATTCTCAGTCATTAATGGCATCAGAGCTGAGTTTATGTGATGAAAGCACAAGCGAGTAAATGAGCTTTTTACATGGGGCATTCAGGGAAATAGTGCTTTCCAGGACGGAGAAGATATTCATTTATAAATATTCACTTTCATGTTTGCAATGATTTTGTTCTTAAAATAAAAATATTTTATTGGTCATTTACATAAGTGTTAATCAAGTCTTAATATGGACAAAAAATTAGACACAGTCAGTTCAGTTAATTAATAATCTATCATGCCAGCTAAGTGCTGGAACCAAAAGAAATGTTTCACACATTATGCAACCAGCTGCAGTTACATTTCAAAGTACACATCAGGCAACACGCACACACTTATAAATAAAATGCAGATGATTTGCTTGCTATGAAATAAAATGAGAATATGACTTTTTTATTTGGACAATGCATATTACTCTTCTGTGTTGATTAAAATGTTCTGTTCAATTCTTATATCATTTTTAATTATAAGATTAAAATATCGTATTCAAATTATAAGAATGTGATCTTTACAATTTCTTTTAGTCATTCATGTATTTAAATGAAAGTCATGATTATGCAAGCAAGCATTTCCCTGTTGGTTCACATCTCTTTCTTTTTTGTACATTGGTTACTGTAATTGTTTTATACTCCAATGAAAAACACGAAAAAATAATAAAAGCTTTTATTTTGCATCTCTGAAGTTTGTTTTGTATAACTGCAGTTTGTAGTCATATTTTCTATCTATCTATTTATCTATCTATCTATCTATCTATCTAGTCTTTTGTTGAAAGTACACAATGCTTTAATATCCCAGCCTCTTTCTGGAGAGAAAAAAAAAAGAGTTTACATTTCTCAGTAAAATACTTGTCAATTGAAAATTATTTCATTTCATAGATAATTGTCAAACTGCATTGTGTGTGTGTGTGTTTTAATTTATTTATTTCAAGATAATAGTTGGGGTTGTATAACAGGAAAATTATATTAAGAATGTTTCCATAAAATTTCATTTTTCTGTTCATAATAATCATTAAGAATAGCAGTAGCCTATTTGCCAAGCAGAATAGAGAAATTCAGAAAATTGCATTGGTTTCATTCAAGTCCCCAGACCACTTTTGTTTTTCAGTGATATTGACCAATCACAAAGCTTAATACAGATTTACGTAACACGTGCTTCTAGGGGGCGGCGCTTATTGCGGCCTTTAGAAAAAAACCCTCAAGCCATCTAGATTTTTTCAATGGAAACCGCCCAGGTTTATTCTATGCATTATTAAATAATTTACTTTACAAATTATATATCGAATACTGACATCTATATAGACGGCGTTATTGTTTCCAGAAGCGGTTCAAAAGGATTAAAGGTAAAGCGTTGCTTTTGTTTTATACTTTTCCTCTTCTGCCGACTTGTCGCTGCAGTCATGGCGCCCGTCCGCTCGGTTGTAGCACTCGCTTACGGGAAGGTGTTTTAATGGCTCCCCGTATCGCTGACGTCTGTTGACGCGGGCACTTGCGTGCCAGTGACTAGCTTGGAACTTTCTGCAGAGCGCGGCATAAAGTCGCTCTCGGGCTTCATAACACACCGCAGCGGTTTGCTTTATTTAGAGATGCGCTTTTGATCAGGATCTCATGGGGGAATTAGACTTTAAGACACCCGTTAAGTATTTGCAACATCACTAAAAAAACTATCCATATCTTGTGATGGAGCTTTTGTTTAGTAGAAACAAGCCCGCTTATAAATACCGGCACAGTCTTATGTATTTTGACAGATAAGTCTTGAAATGAAATCAAAGACAGTTTTTTTTTATTTAGCCTGTTAGCTGCTGTAGCCTTAGATTGTTTGTTTTAAATGCGGACTTTTAACAGACAATATTATCGAAAATGTTGCATCAACAGGTCGATATAGCTCGCAATGTTATTCTGGCTTTATTTAAATAGAATTTGGCCCGTTATTGCTTGTTTTTTGGAGGAATGTGAGTATTTGATGGGCGATATTTAGCATCCGGTTCTGCATGAAGTGAGCGCTGTTAATAACACAAAGCAGCTCCATCTGATTTACTACTACAGGAGGAGTTGTGTCTTCCATGTTAAGTATTTATTTGTTTTTCCCCCCATTACATTGTAACTTTATTTTCCATTTATTGTACTAACATGATTTTACTGGAATTAAATCATAAATGAGGACAACTGCAGAAAGGTTGCAGCAGTAATGTGTAGAAAGCAACCCAAAAAAGGACTGTAAGTGTGTGTGGTGGAGCTGAAGGATTGAGAGGTACTGACTCAGGGTTGGGGTAAAATGGATACGGTGACTAAATCAAGGCTTTTGACTGTTAGCCTGGTTTGACCACAGAACTACTTCAGCACACAAACACACACACACTCCGACCATCTCGTAAGCACAATATAAACAGTCTGTGTTCTTCAGTTTTCTCATGTGTGCTGTCAGTCTGCAAAATTGTATATAATTGTACATAGTTTTTCTGCCCGTAGTTCAGATTTCTGTATGGCCTGAAAAAAAAATCACTGGTCCCCATCTCTAGGTATTATTATTTTTTAATTTTACTTTTACAATTTACATTAATTTGTATTTTTTTATTTGAACATAGAATTTTAAATGTTTTTTTTATTAAATATTCTAATTTTAAATGAATTTTTAAATATTAAATATTTATTCAAACATTATATAATTATTATTATTTTTTTTACCAAACATTCTTCAGTTATTTGCAAGGCATACAAATGTATGCACATAATCAAAAATGTAAGATATTTCAGAAATGTGAGGAATTTTTTATTTCTGGGCCTGGAAAAAAAGTATAAATTGCTATATTGCTTTTGTGTGCGTGTGTGTGTATATGTATATATATATATATATATATATATATATATATATGTGTGTGTGTGTACTTTTTATTTCTTTTTTTATTATGGTCTGCTCTAAAATATAACTGGTCATAAATTGCTTGTTTACTGTAATCTCTGTAAATGTTTTTTAAAAATGTAAGTTTTTACAATTGTGCAAGCTCTGTATATAGGTACTGGTCATGGAAAGCATGACATCTACATTAAGTATTGACCAAAATATGCCTCATTCCATCCTAGGTGTATATGACTTTCTTCTTTCAGACGAATCCAATCGGAGTTATATTAAAAATTGTCCTGGCACTTCTCAGCTCTATCTTTGTAGTGGGCAGGTGTTTCTGTTCAACAGTCCAAAACATGTTAAATAAAGCGCGTGCATCCATAATAAAATTGAATAAAAGGGAATTTGTTTCCCTTTAACAAATTATTAAAAAATATATATTATTTATTACCAAACATTTTTTTACAGTTATTTGCAAGGCATTAAATTAAATTAAAAAGATATTTCAGAAATGTGAGGAAATTGTGATTGAAATAACCTGGAAATTAATATATTAAGTATAAAAATATACATTTTTATTGATTGTTTTATTATTATTATGACCAGCTCTAAATATAACTGGTTATAAATTGCTTGTTTAAAGTAATCTCTGTAAACAGTACATTCTAGTAATCACAGAGCTAGGAAATTCAAAAATTGTGGAAGCTCTGAAGTACTGGTAATGGAAAGCATCACATCTACATTAAATATTGACCAAAATCTGTCTCATTGTTGATTTGCAGTGGCAATGGAAGAGGTCCAGCAGAATAACAGAAATGGCTCTGATCAAACTGTTGCCATCCCCACAACTATAACTGCCTCTCACATATCACAGATAGCACAGGTACTGTTCATGTATGTACTTATCTACACATATTTGCATTATATATATGTGACTAAGCATTTGTAAAAAGCAGCAATAAAAGTGCTTGTTTCATGTTATCATCATCTTGTGAAAGATGTCCCTGGGTGGGAATCCAGTGACTGTGGTTCAGCTGCCCAGCGGTCAGTTCCAGGTTCAAGGTGTGATTCAGTCAGCGCAGTCATCGGTTATCCAGTCTCCACTGGCACAAGCACAGGTAACGTGCAGACACTCATACAGCGTGATCTTAAACTGGTCTTTGTTTTTACTTTAGGCTCCCTCCACTTAAACAATGTTTCTTATTAGGGTCAAGGATCGGATAGTGATGATTCTCAGGATTCAAGCGACAGTGGAGCATCTAACCAGAAGTCAAGAGAGATCTTGGCTCGGCGTCCATCCTACAGGTAAAAGGCCCAGGGCAAATAATTTATGACTCTGCTGGGCCTTATGAGTGGCACCTCAAAATTACACAGATTATTTTATTACTTCTAAAGCCGGCATCCTACTAGCCTTCATTTGCCTAGTAGTTGGAGAATCAGAGGGTGCACATGTGAGCCCCCAGTGGTCTTGCATAACTTCTGACCACATCTAGCAATTTGAATTTATCAGAGCCAGTCGGTGAGGTGGACTCTCAGCTTCTTCTCACACTGAAGAACTGGATCTGCTCCAAAATATTCCCTCAGTAAACGCACAACTCACAAAACACTTTAATGACTAATAAAGTAGGAAAGCAAAGATTGAAGACATTTTTAGTTAAAAGTCGCCATGTAATAGAAATGTTGCTCTTCTTTTCTTCTCTATTGTGACTTCTCGATTGAGAATTGGCTTCTCGAATGAGAAAAAATGTAGTATGCAGTTTGATTTTGTCCGTCTGGAATTGATTGAGATCACAACATTAGCAAACAACAATGATATATGTAAGTGAGAGGCTGCTGGAGATTATTGCCTAGCCTTTGTTATAAGGGGGAAGTTGTTAATGTTTTTGATTGAAGATTATGTGGTGTGCATGAATAAATCAGACAGATAAATCATTTAAATCATTCATAATAAAGACTATAGCATTCCATAAAACATAAGAATTGTCCATTCTTCAAGAATTGTTTAATTTTCATGGTGACTTTAATTTAAAATTATTTTTCATTGATGTAGTGCTATCTCCAGCATTGGATTTTTGTTCTAGTTTTGGAAATCTTTGACAAAATCACAAAGAAATGTCATTTATCACCCCTTTTGTATTCATAATAGGTGAGCGTGACAATTTTTTTAATGCAGCATAAATTTATTTACATTTAATCACATTCTCGAAAGTTGATTTTTGACTCTTCGTGTAGAAAACAAGATAAGCACAGATCGACATGGACACTTCATTTACACAGACCGAGAAGCTGCCTCTGATACTATGGAATGAGGCGGGCCAGAACCAGCATATTTCACCCATATATATATATATATATATATATAAAATATATAATTTTTTTTTTTTAATAAAATAAACAAATATCTTTGTGTAGATAATTTTTTTCTGGATACTTTTGTTCCCTATTTCATTATGTGTCCTCAATCATACACAAACACAGTGTTACTGAGAGTAGAGTGAAAAGCAAAATTTGCCAAGCTCCAAATTCCAGGCACATCTCTGGCACTACACAAAAACTTCTGTTCCTTTTTGTGTTTCAGGAAGATTCTAAATGATCTATCAGCTGAGGAAGTGGCGACTCAGAACGAGGGAGAAGAGGACTGCTCCACCTCTTCTGCCATAACAAGCGTTTCACTTCCTACCCCAATCTACCAGACAAGCACTGGCCAATATTGTAAGCCAAGCCAGCATACTATTTGAGTACTGAATGCATCATGTGGTAACTTCCTATGTATTTTGCAACAAAAATAAAGCTAAGGGTTGCATAAGTTGTTAACGACAAAATTGACTCAAATAGCCATGCAGTTCGTCGTTTACACAAACATGATTTTCTTATTATTTTATATGAACTAGAGCACAATTGTAATAAACAATTGCATAAAAAAGATTTACAATTTTATACCGTAAACCATTTGTCACAGTTCTTGTTTGCTCTGTTGCAGTTGCGATTTCATCCAATGGCTCTCTGCAGCTGGCCAGTGCTGGTTCAGAGGGTGTACAAGGCCTGCAGACTCTCACCATGACCAACTCGAACCCAAACCAGCCAACTATACTGCAATACGCTCAGACCGCCGACGGACAACAGATTCTGCTGCCTAGTAACCAGGTGGTGCTCCAAGGTTGGCACATAAAGGCAAAAAGACCTTTTAATTTGGCAATCAGCTCATATTGTTGCTTTAGTACATGTGGAACACACTGTGGCTGTGATACTGTGTTATAGGTGCAGGGGGAGAAATGCAAGCTTATCAGATCCGCTCTTCTTCCTCCTCGCTGCCTCAGACCGTCGTCATGACATCACCCGTTATCAGCTCTCAGGGCAAAAGCGATGACCCGCAAATGAAGAGAGAGATACGCCTGGCGAAGAACAGGTGGGTGTATTTGAGCACAAGAGAATGAGTTTGTTTAGCGAGATGAAGTTGGTTGGTAATGTATAATATCCTGCGGTTTTTTTCATATGGGTAGTTTTTATTGCATTGTAAGGCTAACTGCATTTTTGTGTAATTCCGAATGTCTGCGTGCAGGGAGGCAGCCAGAGAGTGTCGCAGAAAGAAAAAGGAGTACGTGAAGTGTTTGGAGAACCGTGTGGCTGTCCTGGAGAATCAGAACAAGACTCTTATCGAAGAGCTCAAGACATTAAAGGACCTGTACTGTGTTAAAACTGGCTAGACATCCATACAATCGTGCTAATGGGACTTTGCTGGCAGACCTACGTGCTTATACAAACACAGACACAGGGACTTTTTTTTT